CAATTCTTCGTGGCATAGATTCAACAAGGTGCTGGAAGCATTCCTCAGAGAGCTTGGTCCATATTGACATGATGGCATCACACAGTTGCCGCAGATTTGTCGGCTGCACATCCATAATGCGAATCTCCCGTTCCACCACATCCCAAAGATGCTCTATTGGATTGAGATCTGGTGACTGTGGAGGCCATTTGAGTACAGTGAACTCATTGCCATGTTCAAGAAACCAGTCTGAGATGATTCCAGCTTTATGACATGGCGCATTCTCCAGCTGAAAGTATCCATCAAAAGTTGGGTACATTGGGGTCATAAAGGGATGGACATGGTCAGCAACAATACTCAGGTAGGCTGTGGCGTTGCAACGATGCTCAATTGGTACCAAGGGGCCCAAAGAGTGCCAAGAAAATATTCCCCACACCATGACACCACCACCACCAGCCTGAACCGTTGATACAAGGCAGGATGGATCCATGCTTTCATGTTGTTGACGCCAAATTCTGACCCTACCATCCGAATGTCGCAGCAGAAATCGAGACTCATCAGACCAGGCAACGTTTTTCCAATCTTCTATTGTCCAATTTCGATGAGCTTGTGCAAATTGTAGCCTCAGTTTCCTGTTCTTAGCTGAAAGGAGTGGCACCCGGTGTGGTCTTCTGCTGCTGTAGCCCATCTGCCTCAAAGTTCAACGTACTGTGCGTTCAGAGATGCTCTTCTGCCTACCTTGGTTGTAACGGGTGGTTATTTGAGTCACTGTTGCCTTTCTATCAGCTCGAACCAGTCTGGCCATTCTCCTCTGACCTCTGGCATCAACAAGGCATTTCCGCCCACAGAACTGCCGCTCACTGGATATTTTTTCTTTTTCGGACCATTCTCTGTAAACCCTAGAGATGGTTGTGTGTGAAAATCCCAGTAGATCAGCAGTTTCTGAAATACTCAGACCAGCCCTTCTGGCACCAACAACCATGCCACGTTCAAAGTCACTCAGATCACCTTTCTTCCCCATACTGATGCTCGGTTTGAACTGCAGGAGATTGTCTTGACCATGTCTACATGCCTAAATGCACTAAGTTGCCGCCATGTGATTGGCTGATTAGAAATTAAGTGTTAACGAGCAGTTGGACAGGTATACCTAATAAAGTGGCCGGTGAGTGTATGTTAGAGTCGATCTGATTGGTGCACACACTCATTCGGACCTGAAACTGTCCTTTCCAAAAGAGTGTTACCCCCAACTTCCACCTTCATCCTGATCGTCTCCTAAAAGGTCGTATCCTCCGATCGTAGCTGATCGTAACCATTCAAGTTAACGTGTCAATTTACACCGACTTCTTTCAAAATAAAACACTCCGTGTTTCAGGAGGATCGTATTTCACACCATGCAAACGGGCGGAGACGAACAAGTGAAAGGTTTTTAGACGTCATTTCACCCCAATGAAATAGAGACAACTCGTTATTGCGCAATTTAACGTGAATCTGCAGGTTCTTGTGAGTTTGTGATTCCTGCTGTCTGTAATCCGCCATGAAATTCACCTCACAAATGGATCTAGTAGGAATTGACGGATGGCAAAAATTGCCGCTGTTAAGGAGATCGGAGCTGTTCTGGATGCTGTGAAAACTGAGGGTTAGAGTTACTCCTTCATATCAAGCTTTACTTCTATCCCGTCTAAAGTCAGCCTTTAGAGTCTGGTCATTTACTCTGTCTGTACTAAAACTGATTCACTCTCACAGGCCTGAAGTCTTGATTCACAGCATTTATGATTCGCTGTTTTAGTTTTGTTCTCGTTTCCTGTTGAATTCTAGTTTGCAGATTTTTAGGCCTGCTGCAGATCAGCTGATTTTATCACTAACTTTCACAGATGTGATCGGCTAACAGAACTTAAAGCATCGATCTCAAACAGGTCAACGAGGATTACAGATATTTGATACAGCCTTTCTATTTTGGGTACTTCAGGTTCGATGTATAAAGGGCTGCTGAGCGTCAGGGTTTTAAATCCTTCAATTGTCTCTTTGACCTTGAATTGTGACCCCTAAAAAGCCTCTTTTAAGGACATGAGAGGATGAACGCTGAGGATTAACAGAAAGGTAAACAGGTGAGGGAGACAGAGACGGAAAAAACACTGAATGTATAATTGAGCGTGTGCATGAGCGGGTTATCTCCCGTCAGTAAACCTGAACACAAAGGTTTCAGCTTTTTGTGTGAGGAAACAGAGGGAGGCTTCGCCCATGTGGGACTGAGGTGTGTGTGTGTGTGTGTGTGTGTGTGTGTGTGCGTGTGTGTGAGACCAGACAGCAGAAAGGTCTGGCTCACAGGAGACCCCGGTCACTGATAGGCACTCATGGAGCCTCTTCAGCAGGTTAGCGGCGACATAATTAAAAAGATAAACCTTATGAACGGGGCACAGAGATAAGAGGTGTAATGAGAGCGAGCAGGGAAATCAGCCAATCAGAGGACAACAGGGGGGTTAGGGGGCGGTCTCAGGGGAAATAAACCCCGACCTGTCAATCATCTGACAGAGATAAGTGTGGATATGGAGCCCCGGAGCAGATCTAGAGGAGCATGATCTGTAGCTTAATGTAGTCAGGAGTCTCGTCCAATCAGAGGAGACCTGGAAGCACCGAGAAGACAAACCAGGTGACACCTAACAACACCTAACACCTGTAAAATCTGTTCCAAAGGTTGTTCTTCTGCTTTTCTTTGAGGGTGAAAGTCACATTTATATTCGGGGGTTAATCTGCATGTGCTGTGCCTGCAGAGCAGAGCATGACTCCTGCAGATATCTGAGCGCTCACGGCTCGGTGTAAAGACCCTCAGACTCTAAAACTCGAGCAGGAGGATGAATCAGGATGATTAAAGCTCATCTGATCTCACTGCAGACCACAGACACGGGTTCAACAAAGTGGACGACTCATTAAAGAACTGTGAAACCTCAGAGCTGTCACCATCGACCTGTTCTACATTATTAAGAATAATAATTAAATAAAAATCTCATAAATTAATATTTGTTCTTGTTCTACGAGCATAACTTCCATATCCTTATAAACTTTCTTAACATTCTCATTCAGACTTTTTTCACATAATAATATTAAAATATCTGATAATTTTCATGTTGATTATTTTTAAGGATTAATCTCTTAAATCATAATAAATGCAGAATTTCAACTGATCACAATAAACAACATATTTAGTAACATGTTCAGAGGCTACACTACGTCTGTAGTTAACGTCTTTGATTTTGTCTGTAGAAAACATCTTTGATTTCTGTCTGTGGTTTACGTCATTAAATTGGTCTGTAGTTATCTTCCTCAGTTTAGTCTGTAGTTAACCTCTTTGTTTTGGTCTGTAGTTAAAGACTTTGATCTCTGTCTGTAATTAACTTCTTTGATTTCTGTCTGTAGTAATGTGTTTGTTTAGGTCTGTAGTTAATGTCTCTTATTTGGTCTGTAGTAAACATCTTTGATCTCTGTCTGTAGTTTAAACTCTTTGATTTGGTCTGTTGTTAAATTCTTTGATTTCGCCCACAATTGAAGACTTTGATCTTAGTCTGTAGTTAAATGTCTCTGTTTTGGTTTGCAGTCTGTCTGTGGTTAACATCTGTGTTTTGGTCTGTAGTTTAACGTCTTTGATCTCTGTCTGTAGTTTAATGTCTTTGATTTGGTCTGTAGTTAAAGTCTTTGATTCTGTCTGTAGTTAAAGTCTTTGTTTTGGTCAATCAGAAGGTCAGCGGTTCAATCCCAGATTCTACTGTCTTTGGGCGTGACCTTTGACCCCACCGTGCCTCAGTGTTGTGTGCCTGTTAAAGCGCTCTGATTGGTCGGTCACCGCTCATATTAGAGTTTTTGTCTCTAAAGGTACAGAGACAGAAGGTCGTGAGGGTTCATGGCGGATGTTGGGACTCCTGCTGTCAGCTGTTGTTTTGCTCTTTTTAAAAAAAACTTTTAAAAAAAGTGTTCCTCATATTTTGCAGTGAAGCAGATACGCCGCCTCACTTCTCTATTTCCCTCCACTTCCTGTTTTATTAAGACTTAAATGAACTCGGGTCTGTGCCATCTTTAAAGGGTCACTTCTACCCGAGCAGAGCGGCGCTGATCCGGCTCTGCAGAAGCGAGGATGTGTGTTATTGCCCAGAAAGAGTGGGCGCCTTCACGGCCCGCGGCTCTGCAGCTCGCCTCTCCCCGCTGCCTAAATAACAGACATGTATTCGTATAGCGAATAATTCCCAGCCTTCAAAACACACATATAACAATCTGTTCCAGTTGCAGACGTACGACTCTCTCTCACTCGGGTGTGTAAATGATGTGGGAGCACATTGTCTCTTCCTGCTACAGCCGAGCATGTGAGCGCTGCACAGGCGGCTGCCTCGTGATTGACAGTTAGCTCGTCTGTGCGACACTCGGCTGCTCATATGTAGAGTTTAGAGCCGTGAATGCAGGCGTCTCCAGTGAGATGCTCCCCTCTCTCCTCCTCCCCCTCTCCCTCCTCTGTCTTTGACACCCCCGATTAGAAGGGAAACCTGCGTGGAGAGAATGCATCTCTAACAGGAACAACGTGTGGTGCTGTGAGCTGGAAAGTGAGCTCTCTTGTTACCGGGCCTGCAGTCGAGGTTGTTTACATGAGCACCTGAGGAGGAACAGGGTGTACAGCCTGACAGCCTCCTCTCTGAGGAGGGCCCCCAGCTAAAGAGGAGCAGAGGAGGCGGCCATGATGCCTCCTCCGTGCTGCCCTGTACCTGCAGACTTAGAAGGAGGACGAGTCAGCCAATCAGAATCAGAGGAAACACCATCAGGCTCTGCTCACAGCTTCAGCTTCTTCTTAAATCAAGAAAATAAAGACTTCAGGTCCTGATTAAACAGAGAAAATACGGAGTCTAGTGAACGAGGGCGTGTCCGAACACCTCAGCTGTGTGAGATCGAGGAGCGAAGAGAGGTTAGATTAAAGCTCCTGTGAGGAACTTTAGCTCTGTGTTGATTATGTTGCCCCCCTGTGGACCTAGCTGCAGTTTCAGGCATTAAAATTGCTAAACATACTTTAATTTCACAGGTTAGAAAAATACACTAAGCAGTGATGTAAGTCTGTTACAGAACCAACTTTAGTAACAACCGCAGGATAGCAATACAGAGAGCCACGCCCCCAACCAAAACGCCACTCTATAGCCACAAATAATGCTCAGAACAGCACCTAACTTCATCAACAGGACATATAGGGTCACAGACATAGTACTAGACACCAAACATCTTTTTAACTTTGACTCATTTCTTTAGCAAAGAGACTAAACACAACTCACCTACTCTCTTCCAGCAGACGCTTGTTTGTAGAGAGACCTCAGGCCAGTCCATTACAGACTAAAGCGGGGTGCCGCAGCTCAAGGAAGAACATTTATGATCATTTCTTCATGTAAATACAATCAGACTAAGACGCTAAAGGTCCTTAAACACCCGGAACGACAAAAATATACGACGCGAAATTATGAAATATTCAGAGGAAAAAAGACGCGTCCCGGGTGGAAGTGAGAAGACTGACCCAACAGCAGACTGAGTGTTTTCAGTTCTGATTCGACTCTAGTGTTTAGATGTCTGTCTGTCATAATAGCATGGACTGAGTCTGGGCCAGTACCAGATAAACACATGGCAACATTCATCTCTGGAGGGGGTGTCTAACTCGGTGTTACTGTGTGTTTGACCCTAAATTAGTTTTATGCCAGAATATCCCTTTAAAAACACTAAATATACTTTAATTCCACGGGTTAGAAAAATGCACCAAGCAGTGACGTAAGTCTGTTATGTAACCCACTAAAACTCCCACAGGAGCTTTAAGTTCCACAGTAATCCACAGGTGTGTTTCGTCATGGTTCAGACAGGTGTGTTACTATTTACACAGCCTGTGCAGAAACATCACACTCACACTAAAGGTCGCTGTATGAGGGAGCTCAGAGCATGGAGGGATATCAAATACTGCGTACTGTAAGGTCTTTATCCAACAATCACTGAAGTTAAAAAAAAGAGCTTTAAATTAAAAAAGTGCACATTTAAGCATCTTCACGTGTAGGTTGTGTTTGTTAAAACCCAACAAATAAGAAGAATGAACGTCAGCCATGATGGATCTTTACGTGCGATCGTGTTAATTGCAGAGTGAGATATAATTAAATATCTTTGTGTCTCTGATCTCTCTGCGGGTACGATGACTCTGATGTAATGGAGACAATATTTAGCCACCAAGCTGCAGCTCCTGACAGATAATTAGCTTTGTTCATCAGGGTTATAAAGACGCCGTAAAGAAGTGTGAGAATCTCTCATCTTAATGAAACACCAGTCCTCTCTCTTAATCGCCTCCTCACTTTTCTCTTTCTTCTCATTATCGTCAGAAATAACCCTCCACTCCTCTCTCTTTCATCAGGGCCGGTTTTTCCTCCATCAGCTGATCCGTCCGTCAGTATTTGTGAAGGTGACATTGATGCTTTATTGATCAGCTCTGATTGATTTGTAGCAGGAGCTATAAGGTTATCTGACACGAGGCCGTGTTAATGAGCTTTTGACGGTGCAGAAGTCGCTTCAGAGAAACAAAGATGAACTCTTGGTCCTCGGGGAGCAAAGTTCATCCTCCACGTCTGTCTGTCTGTGTTTGATTTCTCTGAAGCATAAACACTTTTATTCCAGATCTAAATTTACAGCAGACAGGCGGCCATGTTGAATCCGTCATTTCTGGGAAGTGGGAAGGATCTTCATTATGGTGTTTATTGTGGTTTGGCTTTTTTCTCCACAGGGCACCAACAGTTCAGCGTGCACGCTCCACTGGAGTCAATTCAGCGTCGGAGAGAATAAGACAGGGATTAAAAAGAGGAAACGCTCAAAATAACACATCAGAAATATTGGATTCAAAGAGGGACTCGATAATAAAGCAGAATCAGACTCTGAAATAACAGAAAATATCCGCTTCGTTTTTTCTTTGTGCCGTGTTGTTGAACAGATTAGAGATTTCTTTAAATGTAAAAGAAGTTTGACTTAAATTTACGCAAAACAACAAATAACAGCGACACATGAAGACAAGAAGTTTCCTTTTACATTGATTTATTCAGAAACACAAAATCTAAAACAAAACTAACTTTTTTTTCTGTAATGAGGAGCATAAAGTCATAATTTTAACTGTTTACCGACATGCTGCTTATTTTATCTTAACTGTGAATAAAGAAACAGGAAATTTTTCTCTTTTAACTTTACAAGTACGAGCTCGACATTTACCAAAGAGTCAGGAAAAGTTCAGAGAGAGACAGTTTGGTGTTTAGGAGGAACTTTGAACAGTTTTTAAGAATCGCTGAGGGACACTGAAAGTATTAACTTATTTACTCACTTCTTTTAAAATTCTGACTTAAACTTCACTGTAATACAAAAATATAAGAAACTTCTTTTTTTAACTTTATCAACATCAGTTTTAAAGTGATATTTTATTCCAGACTTTTTCTCAGAGTTTAAAGTTTGTTTCTGAATTTTGATTTAATTCTCCAAAATCTGAAAAGAAGTAAAAAGACGAAGAAAAAAAGTCAAAACTCGGTCCTTATTTTATCTCCAGTGACGCTGATGTTTTTTCTTTTCTTTTTAGAAGTTTTCTTTTTTATTTTCCAAAATAAAACCTTTTTCTTTAAATTTCAAAAATAAAGTCAGAATTCAGTGATGTCATTTAGAATTCTGGGATTAAAGGTGGAGCGCTGAGATTTAAGTCAGAGTTCACAGAAACAGTTTTTAATCCAACTTTAATCTTAAAAATTTATAAAAACAAGATAAAAATTTAACCTTAATTAAAATTCAAAGAAAATAGAGTTGGTGAGCATTAGATGGTTTTATTGGGAAATTTTGTGAGTAAAGGGAGAAAACTAAATTTAAAAAACTTCATTTTTAACAGAAAATAAAAGTTTGATTTAAATCTTAAAATTCCAGAAAAGTTAAAATTCTAAGTCAGTAATTCTGACTCAAAAAAGTGAAAAACACTGAAGTCTAACCTCGAACTTCTTTTCCCAGTTTGTCGTCACAGTCTTAATTCTTAAAACTCGGAGATTATTCCTCAAAATTCTCTCATTTTAGTCAGAACTCACAGATTTTAGTTCTGGGAGTAAAAGCAGAAATCTGAAATCAAAGTTAAAATTCAGAGAAAGAAAAACATCATTTTCCTGAATCTCAGAGTTTTAAAGAGAATTTAAAGTTATTAAAAATACTGATTTTGAAATTCTGATGTCTTTTTCTTTTTCCCTGTTGACTTTAGTCTAAAAGGACAGAAGCCTCTAAATTCTGAAAATCAGAAATTTAAAATAAAGTCAAATATTTTTCTCAGATTTCCCTGAAAGAAGTTAAAGCTCAGAAATAATCAGTTTTTTTGTCTAAAAGAGGATTTAAAGTCAAAATACTGAACACAGAAACACGACTGCAGCATTAGTCAGATTTTTACACGATAAACCCTGAGTTTAAAAAATGTACAAACTCAAACAGCAGACATGAAACCACTTTAAGTTATTTCTACAAACACACACTTGGTCTGTTTACACTCAGTATCAGACACGTTCACCAGAAAGGTCCAGAAATAATGTTAAAGTAAAACTAAATTTCAGCTCTAATGACTTTAAAAATATCTGCAAATGGAGCGAACAGGATTTTCTCTTCATGAATGTCAAGATAAGATGTTTTATTTGTGTTCATGAAATGAGATTGTCAGACTCAAAGTTAGTTAAATCGCAGAGATTTGAGTTTTAACACCAAAAACACGATAAAATCCTGTTGTTTTGTTTTTTTGGACCCTTCAGCAGATCGACCCTCGACCACCTGGACGCCGGTTTCTTAGGTCCGGTCTGCACACTGGTGCTCTGAATCAGGATTTCACAGGCTGAGCTCTGAGGATGACATAGCTGCTTCACTATGCGGCCTCTCGCCGAGCTGAAGAACAAGTGAGAGATTGATAATTTATCTTCTCTCTGCACCTCGGGGCTCCTCTCAGAGCAGAGCGCCGCACAAACTGATGCATTATGGAGCAGGATCGACAGCAGCGAGCGTCGTCCACGTAATCACAGTCAGTGTTGAGGAGAGGTCTGCAGGTCGAATGTTCAGTTAAAGAAACACTCATCTGCAGTTTGGGCTCATCTTCACAGGATAGATTAAATATGAGCTTTGACCAGATTAAAATATTGAACTTTAACTCTGTAATCTTGCGTTTTAATCTTGTTGGATATTTATTGAGAAGTTTGCGGTTAATTCTGTCAGCGCTCATGAAAACAGGAGCTCTGTTGTTCTGCTGTTTTTAATCAGTCTGACAGAGTTATGCTTTTTTAATTGTTGTTGTCTATCACACATGTTTCTCCTTTTGTGCAGGCCTCATCCCACTCTAACCAAGTTCACTCTGCAAATACGAATAAAGGGAGAACAATTGTCATCTAGAATAAATCCTAAATTTTAAAAGAGGTCGTCAGTGACCTCTCTAGCTTAAAAAAGGAGTTGATTTCACCCTCAAACGGTTCAGTTCAGGCAGAAAAATCTAACATCATAAATTTGTCTTTTTTATTCAAAGGTTATTTAAATATAATTAAAGACACAGCGGTGACTCTCTCTGCTGTGTGAACTCTGAGTTTAGCAAATCCACCTTTAATCCACTTCACCAGTCTGAGTGTATATTCTGTTTTTAACAGTACGAACACCTGAGAGTCCAAATAATTACAACTGCAGACAAACTCAGCCGTCCGGTCACACTAGAATCACTTTTAGAGTCTTTGTGCAGAGAAAACATTTACTAAAGTGCATCTATCTCACTAATATCTATACAGTCAGCCTGCACACATCAGCAGAAAAATATGACGCAGTTATTTCTTTGGATCGACCACGTAAACATCCACGCTGCAGCTGATTGTTGTTTGCATCAAGCCTGTGAGAGTTGTGTGTCTGTTAACTGACCTCAGATTTGTATGACGCTCAATATTAGACTTGAATTTTAAAACCAGATTTCCAGAGACATCTAGTTAAATATCAGATAAAAACAAACTGCAGATTAAAATCTCTTTTCATCCATAAAAGTCAGACATAAACAGCACTGAACGAAGGTGAAGAAGCGGCGCTGCGGTCTGTCTCAGCTCAGATTTTCCCGGCACGGTCTCTCCAGAATATTTACCTTTCGGTCCTCAGAGCTGCTCGACTTTCTGGAGATGGCTTGTTTGTTTTGAGGTCCAGCAGAGGAGCGAGCGTCTCAGCTTGCTAGTCCTCCGACATGCCACTAGAAAGTGCTCTTCAGCAGCTTATCAGTCATCTTCCACTCCCTCCTCCTCCTCCTCCTCCTCCTCCTCCATCCCTCCATCTTTCACATCCCCATCTGTCTCCCTCTCAGACAAAAGTTCTGCTTCTAATTTTGCAGAGAGCAGGCAGAGAGAATGTGATTTAAAGGTGTGAAGAAGACGACTACAGCCTGCACCGCCGGGCCTGCACGCCGTCCCTGGAGTCTGCTTCTCTGTGTGGTCGACGAACACACAGGAAGGGAGGAAATGTGTCCGCTGGGAGCCTCTACAAGCTTCTTCTTCCCCTTGTATTCAGATCATGTGTGTGGGAGTCTCACAGGAGGCAGGTACAGGAGGGCCTGCACGGGATCTCTCGCTGCAGGAGCTTAAAGACTCCGATGAAGAAAAGGAGGTCGGAGCGTCCAGAGTGAACGTCAGCCCTGAGTCCTGAGCAGCATCTGCTCCCCAGTAGCAGCTTTCAAAGAGGCTCGCAGCGATCACCGGGTCTAAATCACCGAGAGCGGCGATGTCAGAGGGGAAGACAGACCACTTTACCGGCCAAACACCTTGAACTGTTCATTCCTGCTTGTTGGAGCATAAAGACGCCTGGGAAGCATTAGCAGCCAGTGTGGGAGCCTGAGGGTCAGAAATACAGAAAAATACCCTAAAAAAAACAGGTTTACTTTAATCTGATCTCATTTAAGAAGAGTGTCAGAGCATGTGAAATAATCATCTCCTAAAACAAGATTTCTTTTGTGCATGAGCAAAAAACTAGTGGGACAAACTTCTCAACTTCTCCTGAGTGCTGGAGTCATTTTAATAATTATAATGTGTGAACAACATCATCATTTCTGCAAGTGACTGTCATTAAAAGGTTATATTAAGTGAAAAGTTAATGTCATGTGCACATAAGATAATATTCTCTGGAGGATAAGATGTTGTAACCTGATAGTAAAGTCGTAAAACCGTCCTGTAACAAATGTTTCAAACGGAGAAGGAGGTCGACCACAAACATTAGAGAAATAAGTGTTGGATTTCAGGAGCTAACGGAACATTTAAAGGTAATAAAACATAATAATAAACGTAATAAAACATCTCCAGTATCAGGTGTTTTTAAGTAAAAAGTAAGTAAAATTATTGAGTAAAAGATTCACAAAGTGCTTCACAGTAAAAAATTAAAAATACAATCATAAACATCCAGTAAAATCAAAGAAGAGTAAAAAGAACAGTGGTATAAATAGTTAAAACTGGGGGAGGGAAAAGCCTTTTTAAATAAGTGAGTCTTTAAAAGCTTCTTAAAAGTGACTGTGGAAACAGAACTGAACGGATATTAGCAGGTAAACTGTCCCACAGTGTTGGAGCCGCCACTTCGAGGGACAACCAGCAAACCCTGGTCAGACCAGGGCAGGCAGAGGAAGCTAAGCTAATTGTTGCTAACCCTAACTGGTGCTAATTTAAGGTTTAAAAATGTTAAAACAGTGAACTAAGCGTCGTGCTGTGATTGTTGGTCATTCCTCTCAGAATCGTCGTGATTTTTCACCATGAAGGTCTGATCCTAAACTAGCAGTGAGGTGTTTCTGCTCGACCTGTGTTTCCATGAAGCTACGTCTTTATAATATTCTCCCCTCTGGGAATCATTTGAGGATTCGGGATAATTTCCCGGTAATTTCAGGCTGCCACGTCTTCGAGGGGAAGGAGCAGATTTATGGAGTAAACGTAGATTACCTAAACTTTACTGAAAGACGAATCACTGAAGAAGAATGTCGGCCAACGACGGATCGGTTTGATTATGTAAACAGGAGATACGTGTTCCCGTGCAGCTCTTTTAAATCTCTTAATAGAAATATCATTCGGATACTTCAAAACTCTAATTTACTGTAATTCTAATTCTAACCTGAGAACAAGCTTCAAGATTCGTGTCGGATCATGTCTGCAGATGAGGGCTGTCATTATGAGTTGGAGAACTTCAGGCTGACAGATGTCCGACTTCCTCCGAAGAAACACACTTTGGTTTTTGTGCCAGAGCCCAGAGTGACGACTGTATTCACGCTCCGAGTCGGGGGTGTGCGATCATTTCATATAAAGAAGGATGAGTCAGAGACGGTGAGATAACACAGGCTTCAATCCAACTCCACCACATTCAGGAGAACCGTCTGTTTGCCACCTGTTTACATGTTTGTTGACTGTTTCGGCTCATAGTAGGTCAACATCGACAACCCAGTAATGATGAGCCAAACAGGGACGTGTTACATGATGAGGTAAACCGCTGTTAGGATCACCGGGGGCAGCAGTCAGCAGCTACGTTCAGACCACACATACAAAAGGCTCTAAAATGTGATTTAATGAAGAGATTTGAAACTTTTAGCTCAGTGTTAATCAGCATTTTAAACAGCTCTATGACGATAAACGATAACGATATGTATCGCAAATCAATTTCCCTTAATATCGATATGAAACATGCTTAATATGCTTCTCGAAAGTCGTCATTCTGACATGTTTTGGTCGACTATACGAACAGCCAATGAAAAGGGGAGTGTCTCCGGGTCTGAACCAATCATGTTCTGAATTAGAACCAAGTATCAACCAACTGCTGCGTCGTAGCAGACAGCAGCTCCACCCAACCATAGCACTTTAACAGGTGAAGCCGACAGCACTGTTGGTGAGAAACAAAGAAAATGAGTGCTACCCCCGACAGAAATGACCATGAAGGCTCAACAGATGACCACATCAATGTCAACCACAACACTGGCGTTAGGAAAACGTCGGTGGTGTGGAGGTATTTTGGTTTTTGGAGGTCGGACATGAAGCAGAGTAATGTGGACTGTAAATTATGTCGAGTACATGTTCTCACAAAGTCGGGGAATACCTCAAATCTTTTTCACCACCTGAACAAAAACTGTTACATTTCATTGTTATATTGTAATATTGATCGATATCGACTGATGTGAAAAAATATATCGTGATAAACTTTTTCCCGTATCGCCCAGCCCTAGTCTCAGTACTGAACCCGTTTATTCAGGAGAATCAGGACGGGCCTTTAGTCTCACTGAGAGTCAGCTCATTCACAAAAGTCCGGACCTGCAGAGTCCCATCTATCATCCAGCCTTTTAAGACCTGGATCCAGAGGGTCTCACACCCATATTGATACAGACGGCCTGCCCTCTATCTCCTCCACAGTAATAAATGTTAATGGCACATCAAGGGGACATTATGGAGTCATGCTACAGCGAGTCTCCATTCAGAGCCCGACTAAAGGCCAACTGTTTCAGCCGCCCTGCCCGCTGACCTGTAAGGCCCGATCCAGGCTGATTAATTGGATCTTTTAACGAGGGTCCTCTGACAATTACACCCGCTCCAGAGGGAGAGCTGCAGGATGTTAGGGTGGGTCCCCCGTGGAGTGCTGCTTCACTGGCCCCAGATCCTTTCCGGGGCCCCCTGAGAGCACTGAGGCCTCCCCCCTCCTCTTCATGGAGGAGGAGCAGCAGGCTGGGGTGAGATTAGCACAAAAGATGACGGGGCCGGTCTCGGGGGGGAGGGAGAGCAACACTGTGACTCATTCTTATGATTAAATGTTTATCAGGCGGCTGGTGGAGGGAGGCTCGCTCATTCGACTACACAGCATTTTAATACACAACATTTTAATACACAACATTTTAATACACAGGGCTGAACATGGATGAAGACTTCAGCAGTCGGAGATTTCTGCTCTTTAAATTTGTCTGCCTGGTTACATGAGTCAAAAACACTCTCACTACCAATGTTTACATGTGCAAAATTTCATGATCCGATTAAAACTTTGAGGGATTGGAAAATCTGAATCCACTGTTAATACAGGCGCAGAATCAAATAATCCGATCATGACGTGCGACCAAACTTTATTCAGATTAGAAGTATTTGGACATGAACTAAAACAACCGCAGAAGAAGAAGAGTTGGATTTACGCCTGTGCCGTCAACAAACCAACAAACGCGGAAGTGGCTCACTCCATCCAATTCAGGAGTTTTTCCCTGTGTTAATTTGTCACTAGATGGCGCTCTTGCGTACTTATTTTACTGTTCTGTCAAAGGTTGCACTGTGCGCCTTGTTATGTTATCGGAGGAGCAGACACGCACCTGCGGTCGTGTTAATGATGAAACCTCCTGAACTCGCCTCAGTAAATAAACAAAGGCTAAAGAGTGAATTTCGAGTCAGGTTAGAGAGTCACGATCGGAATACATGGATGTGTTTCGGAATAACGATCGGCATAAACCCTCCCTCTCGATCAGAATACAATTTCTTTCCAATTGAGCCGAATTGGATCAGTATTAATCAGCATTTTTAACATCTCTATGACGTTCTGTAACTGTTTTAAGAACTACGAGGTCTCCAGTACTGAACCCTGTGGAGCTCCAAAAACAGCCCCGCCTCCTCCTCTCAGGTAAGCTCACCTCAGAACACCTGTATTCATCAACACTGTTCAGATGATATGAGGAGGCCGACTCTGGACTTTCAGCTAATGAACACTTATAATAATGTTTTCAAAAGTGCTCTAAAAGTGCCAATATGTGAGAGCGATCAATGCAGGAGCGGGCTGGTGGCATTATTGGAGCGTGCAGGTTAAGTCTGAGAGAGAGAGAGAGAGAGAGAGAGAGAGAGAGAGAGAGAGAGAGAGAGAGAGAGAGCTGATGGATTCAATTACTCCTCCTTTGTCCATTCAACAAAGAACATAATTAGCACTAATGGTGATAGCAGCAGCCACAAACTCAGCACCTCCTCCCTCTTTCTCTCTCTGACACACACACACACACACACACACACACACACACACACACACACACACACACACACACACACACACATGAATCAACACATTACGAAGCACTAACCCAGCATCAAACATTTCAAAGCTACATCGGCTAACACCGCTAACGTCTCATCACTGTACCTTTAGTTTCGTTTCAAGGCTCCCCTGATTTTTAGTATTTTTGTCTTCAGTCATAAAACCTGAACTGACAACAAATTCATCTCAGCGTTGAAGATCGTCTTCACTCTTTCAGGAGAGAGTTCATCGTCTTATCTGATAATTCTGGGATGTGTTGGACAAACAGAGTCGATTACACACAGCAGGACAGAACGACAACAGCACTGAGCTCTTTCTCCGTTTTTACGTCTGAACACTGTTTCAGAGATCTCAGACCACGTTTCATGCTACACGTCAAAAAACAAACAAACACCAGGGCTTGACACTAACTTTGTTCACATGTTCTCCTCAGTTGAAAAGGTAAGGAGCACACAAAGAACTTTTTTTGTCGTAAATGTGAGTGGAACGGTCCTGAGCCCTGAACTCACAAAAAGTGACCTGAAAAAGTGACGCTCCAACGTCCTAGAAATGGAAATTAAAGTCGAACTTTCCTCCTGGTCTAAAGATGAGAAAACACTTTTTAACAAAAGTTAAAATCGAGCACAACTCATCGACAAATCTGAACTCGGGATCACAAAGTCTGTGGGGGGTCAAAGGTAGACCGGTTCACAGAGTCCCTGATGCTAACGGAGCTAAAGCTGCCGGCCTTCCTGGACAAACCGTGTTTGTGTTTTAGCGAATCCTGCAGCCTGTCAGGTGCGGTGAAATTATTTTGCTGTTCGTGACAAAATTCATGTCAAATCGTCTGTGCACTTGGTGATTTGGTGTTTCAAATGATTTTCTCGTTTTTATGATGTTCCGCAGTGAAGAAAATATTTCTGTTATTTTTAATGTGTTCATTTATTTGCTTCATTTTGGTATTTTGTGTTTTCATGAAAAACGACAATAATCAGAGTTACACAGGCAGCTGTGCAACATCTGAGTCTACGTTCACACTGCAGGTTCTGATGCACAATTTGGATTTTTTGTTCAATCCGATCTTTTTGTGCGGTCGTTCACATAACAGTGACCCGCATGCGCACAAAGCAGGACGTGACGCAGTGTGTTTGCAGAAGTACAATCGAACAATGGTGAACAATGGTGACGTTTGTCGCATATTGATGACGTAAAGGTCGGATGAACGCGACCTGAGCGTCCACACTGCAGTCACATCGGATACATATCTGATTTATATCCACATACAGAAGAGGCCTGGG